CTAACCATCAAAGATGCTTGTGAACACTTGCCAGTCCTCTCATCTTCACCTGTGGAGCCGGTCAGAAGCGAATGCGTTCTCCCAGCAGGAGCTTCATGCTTCTTTGGTTGGCTGACCAAGCTTGACACAGTCATGACCTTCCCTGGCTAGTGCCATCTGAGCTACTCTGTGAACAACTGGAGGAAGTGTGTGAGGGTTGATTTCTCTCGGAGCCCAAGGGTCTGCTGGGTGGCTTGCAGCCATAGGTGAGAACAAGCTGAGAAGGCAAGGAAGACTTCCCTTGCACTGACACGATGTGACAGTCTCTTCCCATTAGTGGCACTTCATTCAGCTGTTATACTGTCATATCCCATTAGTATTTGTGCAGTTCATGGAATGAGAGGGTGACTAATGCGAAATGGTTTTCAGAATGTTCGAGTGAGAATGCAGAGGAGGCTGATACTAGCGGGTGTCTTTCCTGATAGAGATTTGCTGCCTGGATAGCCAGTCTGTTTCACTGGATACCGGGGGAAATGCAAATTGGCAATTGAGCAATGCCAAATCTAGGCTGTTACACTCTGCCTTCAAAATGAAAGGAGGCCTCATAAATAATAATATAATCACACTGAGTTATTTTGAGTGTCCACAGCACTTTGCATCTATTAACTCAGAGAGCCTCACAGCCCTATAGGTTGACATGCTTTTCCTCATGTTTTAGGTAAAGGCCTGAAGCTGAGGCATAACAGATCACCTAATGAGTTCAACATGGCTGAGGTGAGGTTGTGAAGTTCCTAGGAACCTCCAAGCTCTTTTGCATCTGTACAATGCAATATAATCTCTGGCATTATATTTACTCTCGCTTGGGAGTCGTATCATCCCCCCAAGTGATAGCAAAGATAATTCTTAGCCTAGAAAGCACTATGCAATGCAGAGAAAAAGTGCAAGAGAGAGATGTTTAAAATGAAATGAACACAAGCAGAACCTGCAGGAAAATGTTTATTCATTTACGTATTTATTTCCTGTCTATACTGCCCAATAGCGGAATCTCTCTGTGCAGTGAACATCAGTAAAAATATAAAAAAACCACATACAGAATAAAACAACAGCACATCATAAAATGGCATTAAAATTTCTAAACCACATTTTTACAGCTGAACAGCTAAAAACCAGTCCACACTACTGGGCCTGCTGAAAAGCAGCTGGAATACCACCACCGCCACCCCAAGTGCTATTTGGAGTTAGTAAAGAGCACAGTTTTAAACTGGTGCTGAAAAGCTGGTGCCATGAGGCCTCAGTGGGGCAATCATTCCATAATGTGTGGGCTAGCACAGAGTCCTCCTCCTGTGCTGCCAGCAGCTTGGAGGTGGCATTGAGAGAAAGGTCTCAGATGTTGAGCCTAGTGTCCCGGCACCTGCAACTGCCTGCGAATGGAAAGCAGTGATTCCAATTGGTTCATTTGGCATTGTGGAGGAGCCATAGTTCAGCAGCAGGGCACATATTTAGCATATGGAAGGTCCTAAATATGGGGTTCAATCCCCAGAATTTCTAGGTAGGTTCAGAAACAGTTCAGCCTGAAATCCCGAGAACACTGCCATTCAGTGCCAGCCAGACTGAGTTAGATGAACCAAGGTTTGTTTGTTTGTTTATTTATTTATTTAAAACATTTCTATGGTGCCCCCGTCGCAACAAAGCCTTCGGGGCGGCTCACAACTTAGGGCAGCTTCCAAAGTTAGTTTTACATATTTGCTCCCCTCATAATTGGTGCTGTTCTCTGTTCATTTGTTGACCTGTGACCAATACAAAGAGGGAAGCTATGGTAAAAGTATGTTATGTTTTGTTTGGATCACTGAAGGTATGAATGTGTTAACTGTAACAGAAAAAGACATGCTTTTGACCTGAGGCTTATGCTTGAGGAGGGTTATTTTGCAAATATGATGTGCTGGCAGATTAGCAATTACTGTTACCACTAAAAGATGAAAATGAAGTCAGGTTTCTGCCTGTATAAAGGGAAGAAAGGAAGGGCTGGTATTGATTGGAGAATAATGGAACGCTTTAAGGATGCACATGGGTCCTGAGTCTACCCAGAGGTGGTGTGACAGGATGTTGGCCACACCAAAGCTGATCGGCTGGAGGGTTGACCAGGAGAAATAAGAGGAGCTGCGGAGGGGCACCTCAGGGGAGTCTGCCAGGGAACTTTGCTTGGAGAGTTGCCTGAGAAGTCCTCAGGGGCTTTTAGGAAGCTGGGGACCCTGAAGAAAACAACAGCCAGAAGGAAGAGCAACTACAAATCAACAAGCCAAACAGAGCTCACGAGACTGAAGCTGAATATGTTTGCAAGTGCAGTGTGGAAGATTCCTGGAGCAGACTTTGGAGGAAAGAGCCTAAATTTTGGCTGGTGGGTGTCGTTTGAAGACTGAGCAGCTTGCAGCAGGGTGAACAGCCTTGTAGATTCCAGATGGAAGGCCAACCTGACCAGAGAGAAGACTGCCCTTTAAGCTCTCCTTGTTAGGCTTTTGCCTTGTTTCGGATGGAGCTTGACAGGGGCATTGGCTAGCTTTGGTTAGGGTGAGGAACTGTCTCCTCTAACATCTGTTTGTTGGTAAAAGTAATTATAAAGACATTCTGTTTACAAGTAAATAATTCATATGTAATGAGTTTCTTGTTTTATTTATTTTCAATAGAATACTGTATACATTTGTTTTCTTTCCTGGTATCTTTGTTCTGTTTGTTTTATAGTTAATAATCAGCTGCACTGGGGCAATGGTGCATTTTAAATAACGACTAGTTTAACAGTGGCAGTGGAAATGAAAGGAAGGATTGCCCAGTAATCAGGGCTGATTCTCCCCAAGGGGTGAGACTGACCTAATGTAGGACACCCACCTTAGGACCAGGTTATCAACAGGACCAAATGGCAAATTTATGAAGAGCAGAAAATATGGGGACTAGTGAGACTGCCAAGTGTGCCCTTTCCTGAACAAGCAAATATGCTGGAGAAAAGTGCAAACATTAAGAAATACATTTGGACTTAGATAGTGGTTGAACAACACATAATGTATGGCTGGCTTATGATCAATCAGTCACTTAGCCACCAATACAACTGGTACTTGTGTCTAAGTGACTGACTGATCATCACTCATCCTGATGGCTGTATATTATACCTTCACTCCAGAAACTGACTTGTTAGTTCAAAGCAGAGATTTCTGGCCATTGTTAACTCAGAAGGGCCATGTTTCAATCCTTAGTGTGCTTGTCAGATACAGCCCACCACACAATTATAGGCCACAAACCAAAGAGCTACAAACATTTGGCTCTTTCATCCTCTGTGAGCAGCACAGATTACATTGATAATAGGCTGTTGAATGTTTTCAGTTCAATATTGCCTTGAAGCAAATGCATTCTTTGTTTTAAATGTGCATGCAGATTGATTATTTGAGAATAATGTAAAAGGCATGGGAGGAGAAATCCTGTGGCACAAAGGACACAGGCTTGTGGAGACAAAGGATGGATGAATGACATTCCTAAATGAATTGACTGTTTCCTCCAAAAGTAACAAATGGATCAGAGTAATCTCAGATAAAAGTTCCTCTTTTCAAGATCTCATTCTATGTGTATGAAGTTTTGTGGATGTTTTGCATCTTGGGACCTATAGTTCCATATATACAGTTATGATTCCCTATAATCACACCATGCTTCATGGTGTTCTGCATCCCCACCTGATTATGTACACCTGATTGGCTGTTACCATGTTGCCTTCCTAAATGTTTATTCACTGGCACCAATTGGTATATGGAGAAGAGACAATGGTTTTGCCAAGGGACATTAGCACATTTCCTCCTCAAAGAAAAGGATTAACCTTCCAACTAAGAACATGTGCAGAAATACAGACTGCACATGCTCCGAAGTTCACAATCTATTCTAAACTTAATTTCTAAGACATGATCTAAGCACATTGCAAAGATGAGTACCATAAATGCATGAATTTCAACCAATGAGAAATGATTGTTAAACTCAGCAGCATCACTAATGAAGATCCTTTTGAGGAACCAGTAGCAGGGCTGCAAAAAGCTTTTTCTTCAGTTCATTCAGAAACCTTTACAGACAATGAGGGCAACCCAGGACAAGCTTCCTCAGTCACCCACCATCAGAATGTCCTCCTATTGACATTCTCAAATATCCATGACTATGCCCCATAAACCCATGGTATCCTATTTTCACGGGCATGCCAGCTGGTGCAAATGGTAATGCTGCTCATATCAGGGGTCCAACAAATTTAGCTGGAATATTATCTTTTAAAATAAGAGCTGTTTGTTTATCTGCAGAGGTGGGGACAAATAGTGCACTTCAGATTACCTGCTTGCTAGTTTTAGCCTGAACTAAACCATGTGCTGACAATTGCCCTACCATTCTAGGTTTCTGACATGTACTCTGTGATCATTCCTGCTGCCCACCTATCTCCCTTGAAGGACAACCAGCCCACCCCTTTGGCAGTTTGTTGTTCTGATGCTCCATCAAATCTTCTCTGACTGATCGAGACTCTATGAATAAATGCATTCCAAAATGAACTCCTTGATGGCTCAGCTTGGCTCTTGCAAATTCAAGGTTGTGACTTCCTTTATGGAATCAATCCATCTCACTGATGGTCTTCCTCCTCTTCTTCCTTGACTTTTCCCAGCATGATTGTCTTCTCCACTGAGTCTTGTGTTCTCATGTCATGCCCAAAGTACAACAGCTTTAGCTTTATCATTTTTGCTTCCAGGGAAAGTTCTGGCTTGATTTGATCTAGGTCCCACATGTTCATAATTTTGCAGTCACTTTCTCATAGAATTCTCCTTCAAAGGAATCTGTCATATTTTTAGCTCTTCTGTATAGTTCTTCCACATATGGTTTTCACCTTTTCTTTTTTCCTGAGAAAATATCTTCCCTTGTCAGTCATTCTGCATTCCTAATCTGGGTTTGAATTTCCCTTTGATTCCTTGGATCTCCTGGAAGAGATCTCTTGCTCTTCCTCTTTGGCTGTTTTCTTCTATTTCTTTGCACTGACCATTGTAATAGTGTTTTTTGTCTCTATATGTCATTCCCTGAAAAGATGCATTCAGATTTCTGACCTTATTTCTTTCACTTTTTCTTCTCCTCTGTCCTCACCAATAGTGAGTGTTTTTTTTAAATCATCCATCCAAGCTTTGCTTTTCTTTTTGCTGCAGGGATGGTCTTTTAGCATGCTTCCTGAATAAGGGCTCTAGTTTCAGTCTACTGTTCTTATGGTTCATGGTCAGTTGTGTTCAGTACTGCAAATACGTTCTTTATCTGGACTTTGGGAATGTCATTGAAGTATTTTGGCACTATGTTTCAGTTAATTGTTCGTTTCAGCTTTAGTCTGAATTTAGATATTAAGAGTTCATGGTCACTACCACAGGCAGCTTTTGGTCTTGTTTTGGCAGCAAGAATACAGAATCTCCATCTTTTACTTCCAACTACAGAGTTTATTTGATTTCTTTACTGGCCATTTGGTGATGTCCATGTGTATAGTCATCTGATTGGTTGCCTGAGGTATGTATTTGAAGTACACAGATGTTGGCTTCACAGAATTTTATGAGTTGTGCTCCTGCTTCATTTCTGACTCCTAGGCCAGATTCTCCTGCAACACTGGATTCTGCTTTGTTTCCTAGTTTTGTATTCCAGTTACTCATGATTATCAACTTATCTTGTTTTGGTGTGCTAGCTATTTCCTCTTGGATGTTGTGTAAAAGTTTTCAATTTCTTCTTCAGCATCTGTTGTTGGCGCATAAACTTGAATGATGGTTATGTTGATAGGTTTTCTGAGAATTCTAATTGATATGATTCAGTCAGACTTTGCATTAATGCACTTTTACTGCCTGTGCTACTTCTTGCCTCAATATTAGAGCCAGTTCATTTCTAGTTTGCCATTTCCAGAATAAACAGTTTGTGTTTGTCTGGCTGAAAATGTCCCATTGCAGCCCAATTTAGTCCTCATACAGCAGAGACTGTGATACTTTATGGTTTCCAGTTAGCCTTGATTCATACTTCTATTGCTCCTTGTTCAAATGGTATATGGTGTGCTACACTGGTGTTCCTTTTGCTTCTTCACATATCAGCCATTAGACTTCCTTTCAGCTTTGATCTGGTAGCATAATTAGCGACGACACTATTTGTACTTGTCCTTTGCTCTTTCACAGTAGCTGATTGAGTACCTTCTGACCTGGGATTCTCATCTTCTTGAACTATCTTTTGCTTGATTTTAGATTGTTTCATCACAGGGTTCATAACGTTCTGAAGCTAAATCAAGCATTAAGGTGAAAATAGAATGTGATTAATGCATCCATTTATAAATGTTGTATGTGAAAATTCAGGTTTAATAAGCTTTGAATTGAAATGTTCACATATGTTTGGTATTTCAAAACTTTAAGCCTCAAAAGAATTTTCAAATCTAAATTGCCTTAGTATGAAGACAATCAAACAAACATCTTACTGAAGTGTTTAATTTTCAATGGTCTGTGTTCAGTTTTTGGAACTTCAGAAGATCACATTTGTGTGTTTAGCTAGAATGTGAAGTTTGTAAATTCAAAACTGATTTGAATCAATTTTGATTGGTTCTATCAAAAATCATCCATTATTTTTTACAATATTTTGTAGTTCAGCTGTATAGAAAAAGTCATTACAGGCGTAAAATTAAGTTTCTGGAAACACATGCACACATTGTACCAGAGTTAATGTTGCCTTATGAGTAACTGCCCATGTGAATGCTTTTAGCAGCAATTACCCTGTGGCAAGCTTGCTTGTGTGAGTATACCTGAAATGTGATTGTACAGGGAGCTAGACTATTGTGCAGTGAAAAATAAGGCTACAGAGCAAGGAGTACAAATGGGCTGTCAATTGGACATTGATTAACTGGCACTTTTCAGCCATGGAGAGGGTAATCCACTAATTGCTCCATCTCTCTTAAAAGCACAACACAAGTCCGGGTGGAGTTAAATTTTCCAAGCATATGCTTTCTATCCAATGTAAATACAGAGATCTTTTATTAAAAAGCATGAAGCCATTCAGGTGCAGCAAACAACGGTAACCCAAAGAGAACACCTACAGACTGAATTATTGCTTTTTTCACAAGGAACTATGCAGAAAAATGAACTGCAGTAGTGAGCAATATGGTCCTTGTTTTCCTAGAAGTGATCTTCAGTAGAAAACATCTTTTTCTGAGAATTGTAGAATACAGTCCTAGTTCCCTGGAACTACCCTGCCCACCACCCACCCCCGTGGGATATGTTAATAATGTGAGATGAGGATGAGGATGATGATCGTAATACCCAAATATAGATGTTGGTGCTTCACAGAGTAACAAACAAAAAGATGGGTATGTACTCCAAGGAACCACAATATAAAATTCAAAGCTGGAATAAGCAAAAGAGAGAGGGAACAAAAGTGCAGGACATTTCAGTTCAGTTTCAGATTGGGAGGAGACTTGGGTTAAGCAAAAGGTTTCAGCTAAAGGTCTCACTTTGGAGGCATTTGAAGGAAGAGAAGGAGGAGTAGGTATTCTGGGATACATGGATAGATATATGGGCAGCAAGGCAGAAGGGCTGGAGCCATTAGAAAGTCTCATGATTCCATGTACAGTTAAAGACAGCTGAGCTGGATGAATGATCAGTACAGTGGGTAACAATCCATTGGTCCCTGCCAGGTATGGGAAAGCTCCGGAGTGTGGGTGTGCCATAGCTGCCAGGCCTGCCCATGTGTCCTGTGGAGGCTTGCCTCCTTCCTGACTCCCTGCCCCTTAAGAAAGGCAAAGGGCGAGAGAAGCCTTCTACAACTGGGTGCTGCCACACTGAGGCACGAGAGGTGCTGTGAGGTGGGCACTCTCCAGAGGCAACTCCCTCTGCCACTGGCCTGCTGTTTCCTGAGTAGCAGGGAAGATGGAGCTCATTGTGATTTTGTGCTGCATGGTGGGAAGGGGTGTGCTTTCTCACCAGGCACCTCAGAAATGATACAGTCTGGCCCTGGAGAAAGAGACTGTTCTTTTTCTCCATGGGCAGAATGCTTCATTTCTGTGCCACAGGGTGAGAAACAGGGTGCCTTGGAACATTAGTAACTTGTGTGTTGTGTTGTCTTTGTGTGTGAATGAAATTGTGCGTGGCAGGGGTGAGGGTGGGGAGAATCTCAGAAAGGAGATGGAATCTAGATGAGAATGTGTGTGTATATATGTCTGAGAGAGTGAGAGAGAGAGAGAATGGGGATATGAGAATGGATGGGTGTGTGGGTTTTAATTCCATTTACTGTTTTGACCTTGACTACGACCAGAACATGTCCCATGACCACTTTTTCTGAAGGGAAAGTAGTCCATTTGGGGGCAGGGCAAGGGAAGATTCCACACCTCTGCTTTATAAAGAAGTGAGAGCCTGACTTCATTTGAGGAAATTCCCTTTGACAGGAAGTCACAAATCTTGCTTCCATTTTCCATTCATAATCTAGTTAACTAGTTTCTTGGCAGGAATTATTGCAAAAACAGCCAGATCTTTAACAGGCGTCACAGTTGCTAAATGTTCATACAAGCAATTGCCATAGAAGTGAAAGTCTAAGGATTAGCAAAAATGCATATAACCTATGGGTTCAATTAAAAGAACCAAGAACGTATTTATTTTTTAAGCAGAATATATGATCTCTTGTTTGATAACAACCATAGAAACATGGTCACAAAGATTTACCTAGAAACTATTTCCAATACCAAGTGTATTGTTGGGTGGAATGTAACAACATTTTGCAATCTATGAAGGAGAAAGAAGCTATCTCTCCCCAGAGAATTATCCATCAAATGCTTTTGTTTAGTTCTAAGTGTACTTTTGAAGGGAACCAGTTGTATAAACCTTTATATATTATAAGTGCTAGTGGAAGCAGTACATTAAACTTTGGCATGCACCATGATGGAAACATTTCACCAAACCAACAAAAGCAGTATTCTTTTTTCTTTTTTCTTAATCCAACCACATAGGGATATGCATCAGTCCATAAGCCTAGCTTTGCCAGGCTTTATTCAGATGGGAGCTTGAGTGGTTTGTTTCTCTTGTTGGGATATTAATTCCCTCACGCCATCATCTCACAGCTGTTTCAGAAAGCACGGCTCCTGCAAAGGGGCCTCTAAGAACTGCAGTGCCCATGAGGTGGACGTGCCATTTAAAAGCTTTGTGCAGGGCAGACCGTAGCTGTACTACATCTACATAATACCACTCCTGCACCTTCTGACTTGGATGTACAAGGAAACTGACACCGTATCATATAGCTGAGGTCTGTTTACGATGAGAAAAATCCCAAGGACCAAGGCAGGGTTGACTACAATAGTTCTAAAGGTTATTCCCATTACAAATGCTTAGCCTGGGAACACCTGACATTAAAACAAAGGTGGAAGAACAATGGATTTTTTTTCTGTTTCTGGTCTATGTCAGTTTCATATGTACTTGACCATAAATCTTTTTGGTTCAATTTCCTTACCTGTCTGCATTTAAAAAAATGATCCACATTAATTGTCATACACAATTTCCCCCTCTTTGCACTTTTTCTGTACAACTAGGAATTGGATGCAGGAGAGGTGGTTGTCCACAGACTGCAGCTTGGATTGGGAGGTTCCCTGCCCCTGCTCCCTTGGTCATCCATCATTTATTAAGGCCAAATTTGTTCTGGCAAACTTAATGCCTGCTGGGCTAAATTATTTTGATAGTGTTTTAGTGCCCCAATCTGTCTCTGATGTTTATTTCCACAGCATATGTCTCTCTTTCAATCCTGTATTGTTTATTCTTTTAATGATATTGTTAAATATTATCTGTCATTTTAATGTTGTAGGCCACTCTGTGTATTGTGATCATAATAGAAGGGTGGGGTATAAATAATCTCCATCCATCCCACCAATCAACCATCAATTTAATGATTTCTGTCAGTCAAGCTCCCTGTAAGACTACAGCCCACAACCCCATCTGGTTTTGTCTTAGCTAGACTGGCAACATTGCATGTAACTGCAGGGGAAGAAACTGGTTAGATGTTCAAAGAAATAACACTGATGTATGGTTGAACTGCTGCTGTTGTTTAGACAATGCTTTTCATCACTCTACCAATCCATTATACAGTGAGAAGCAATTTGCTAGTCATGCAAACAAACAAGCCAGACATCATCAGTTGGCTTCCTGTATTCAGAGAGCTGAAAAATGGGGTGTTCTTTTTTGAGGCAGGTGAGGATCAGAGGGGAGGCACATCCCATGCTTTCAGACAAAGCAGGCAAGCTTTTCTCAAGCTGCATTAGGCTGGCAGTTCACCCAAACCTTGAGGTAGCATTTTACCCACCTACATGTTTTGAAATAATCGATGCTTAAATGCTGCCAAATGAGCTCTTGTTCATTTTGATATGCTTCCGAGCTGACCATGGCACTAAATTAGCATCTAGTTAAACATCCCTAGGGGCAGGAGAAGATCAATCAATTGGGAAGGAGCCTTGGGCATGTGATAGATCAGCTAGAGAATGTCAAAATGAAAAGTGGAATGAAAATGAATAGGGATTCCCCCCCCCCCCTCAGGTTCTGCATCCCATTTGTATTTCTGATGCCCTTGACAAAGCAGCAAGTGCCTGCCTGCAGCCTGACTTGCTTTGTCCAGGTTTCTTGGATCTGATTTCTGGTCAATTGTGCAGTGCTGTTATCATCCCCAGAGATGTGGCATGACAAGGCTTTGTTCCCGCTCTCCTTCTGTCCTCTCTCGTCTTCAGGTGTCATTGTTCATGCTTCACCTGTCCTGTGTCCCTCCATCATTTTTTCTTTGCTACTGAGATAACCCCACCCAGTTTGCCTCAGGGGAATCGCAAAACACCCTGAAAGTTGGGATGTGCTCCCACAGAGTCTTGGCCAGCCCCCATACCCTATGTTGCCTGGTGCAAGATTGTTTGAAGCTCCCCCATCGTGACAGAAAGGAGGACTTTGTCAGACCCAGTTTCTCCCATCACAGAGTAGCAGGAAAGATGAAACTACTGAACTTCACTGCTGAGCTAAATATAAGAGCCACCTATTTGTTCCTGAAGTTGTCTAGAAAAGAAAAGAAAAACAACTATGCAGAATTGATTAAAAATGTTGCACCACCTTACAGAGGGCTGCTAGAGATTAACAAAACTTGAAAACAACCCTCTTGGCTCACAGTCTGTCCTAATGGACCAATTCTTTCCATCTGCTGCTGTGGTTTGGGCATATCCTTGCAAAGAAAACAGGCACTTTGAGGGATGGATATTCCATTTGGAAGAAAAGATTTAG